GACCTCCACTGGCTGTGGCGTGATTCTCGTGGCCGGAGTCATCATCTACAGTGTCACCGGTCTGTTCGTCCATTTTCCAGTGACCCACTAGTCCTAAACGTGAACGCGGGCTTACTGGGTCATAAGGAACCCATTGTCTGTTCGAGCAGACTTCCAGCTTATGAGAAACAGGGATGTAACGAACAAGTCCACTTCTCATGGTAGTACAAGGTTGCTCTAGAATTGTTAGTCCAGTTAAATAATCCTGTAAAAAAAATGTTCAAAGTTTTTTGAATTCTTATATAAGATAAATCAGCTTAATATATTAATCTTTAAAACTAAGCTTGAGAAAGTGGCTTGTCATCAGTCTGAGCGCACCAGAGGTTCTATTTCGCTTCCCGAGAGCAAGCGCCATAAATGTCCTCTGAACCTCTCAGGAATATTTAAACCCCTACCTATTTTAACGAAAATTTTCAAAACCTCTATGTTATTTGCGTTAGGCTAAAGCCGTCACGAGTAAGCAAAACAATACTGGATTATCTTTGTCCACCTCGCGAGGCTTGCCGAGTCTACCGAAAAAAGTTCACCTCGCGCCCACTAAATATTTTTCTGTGGTGTTAAAACTCAATGTTATGAATTTAGTAAAATTAATAATAATTTGACATCAATCTTTACGAAATTTTCCACGGGACGCTGTAGATCAGTATGTGATTATACGAAGTCAGATATAATAGAGTGCAGTACCATATATCAGTAAAAAAGTTAACTACATGTAAAAAAATAGTACAAATTAGTACAAAATTTTGTAGGTCTACGGTCTACTGAAGTCTACTAAACTTACTAACTTGTGCACATTTGTGCAATTTCTTACTAAGGTTTTCACTAATATATGGTATGCATTCTATTGATGTCCAAAAGAAAGTGAGAGAAAACATTAACTTCAACTAACCTGGGTTTTTTTTGGGATCTTGACATTTGCTCCATGACAAATGCAAAGGAGAATTGAAAACAGCAAGCTTGCTCGTAGCATTTTTTTCGTAAGGAATGATGAAGCTTCAGGCCTTGATCCTCTTGCGAAATTCTGTGGGCCTTCGAGTCGGCAGCTTTTAAACTACGTGCATCACAATCT